CTGAACAGTACACTTGTCATAGGGTCATCTGAGAGTGCTGCCTCGGCCTAGCTTACTTAGAGTCCTGTCAGTGGTGCAAGTTAAGTCTAAGGACTACAAAGCCCACTTGACCTTTTCATAATAATATCTGAGAGTACAAGGGTGTTCTTATGTGGGCAGACCTGTGAGAAGGAGTGTTGTATCTTGGCTAGCTGAATTTGGACTCATTCAGCCCATTTTAGCATGTGCAAACTCCTGCTTGCTCTCTGTCCAGGCTTACACGTGTTTTTGGACCCGTGTTTGCTCGCAATAGCAACGAGAAATGCTATCTTAAAGGTAAGTAGAAAGGTAAGGAGAAAGGAAATATCTACGAACAACTTGACCTTATCCAGATAAAACTGGAGATAAGGATAATCATAATGCAAAGCTGCAGGTTTACTGGCACGATAAGCAGATGTGATAGCAACAAGAAATGCTGTCTTAAAGGTACGTAGACAAAGATCAACTGAAGCTAAAGGCTCAAATAGGGCCTTGGTAAGTTGCTGTAGGACTACTGTTAAAGACCATTGAGGAGAAGGTGGGCTTTCATCTGGATACATGTAAGATAAAACCTTCAGGAAACACTTCAGAGTAGGGTGTCTGAAGAACTGAGCTGCTGGGGAAGTTTGGTAGTTGATAGGAAACAACTGCAGCAAGATAAACCCTCAAGGAAAAAAGAGAGAGGCCCTTGGTTTTAAGATGAAGCAGAAAACGGAAGATGGTGGAGAGAGGGGGATTGACTGAAGGCATTGTAAAGGCTTCAGTAAAGGATTGGAATTTCTTCGATTTATACAGATAAACTCTCCTAGTTGAGGGTTCCTTTGCCTGACAGAAGACATTCATCAGGGAGATAAAATCCTCCATGCTGCCAGGTGCAGAGTAGGGAGCTCCGGGTGAAGAATTTGAGCCTTGTTCTGCATGAGCAGGTGAGGCAGACAGGGCAGGTGATGGATGTCTGATGACAGACTGTGGAGAACCAGGAACCAAGGTTGTTGCGGCCACCATGGAGCTAATCAAGATAGCATTGGGTTTGTCTTCTTGAAGCCAGACTACTACTTTGTAGAGAAGAGGAAATGATGGAAACGGGTAAGTAAGGCTCCTGGGCCATAGCCTACAAATGCGTCTCCACGTGAGTGCTTGCTGACTCCTGCACGGCAACGTTTGCACTTCTGATTTGTCAGGGAGGCAAAGAGGTCAATGGTGGATGTGCCCCAGCAATTATTATTAATA